CACACGCACACGCACGCACACGCACGCGCACGCACACGCACGCACACGCACACGCACACGCACACGCACACGCACACGCACACGCACACGCGCACACGCACACGCACACGCACACGCGCACACGCACACACGCACACGCGCACACGCACACGCACACACGCGCACGCGCACACGCGCACACGCGCACACGCACACGCGCACACGCACACGCGCACACGCACACGCGCACACGCACACGCGCGCACACGCACACGCGCACACGCGCACACGCGCACGCGCACACGCACACACGCGCACGCGCACACACGCGCACACACGCGCACGCACACACGCGCACGCGCACGCGCGCACGCGCACGCGCACACACGCGCACGCGCACACGCACACACGCGCACACGCACACGCACACACGCGCACACGCACACACGCGCACGCACACACGCGCACACGCACACACGCGCACACGCACACACGCACACACGCGCACACGCGCACACGCACACACGCACACACGCGCACACGCGCACACGCGCACACGCGCACACGCACACACGCACACACGCGCACACGCACACACGCGCACACGCGCACACGCGCACACGCACACACGCGCACACGCACACACGCGCACACGCACACACGCACACACGCACACACGCACACACGCACACGCACACGCACACGCACACGCACACGCACACGCACACGCACACGCACACACACACACAAACACACACACGATAATGACGAGAAGGAAAAAGATTCTGTATCTCTCTCTCTTTTCTGAGTTTTGGCGCCATCTTCCGATTTTGCATCAAAGTGATTTTGCCTACCTTTGCCTTAGAGGCGACAGAAAGCAGAACCAATCAATATAGTTGGTGATTCTCGTTGATATTATTGAATCATGTTTTCTCCTCCTTCCCTCATATAAATTGGAGAATAGGGATTACCCCGTTGAGGGCGCTGTGAAGCACACACACAACTGCGCCAGGGAAGCGTTATGAATTGTCCTCCCGCACCAATTTTGAGCACTGTCTTGTAGGAATTCCCACCATTTATTTTGTGGATGCATCTATCTTACCATGCTGTTTATTTATGTTTGCCGTTTTTGCCAGTGCTCTCGCACATTCTTTTTACACATTCTAGTAAACTTCACATAGTACACACAGTAGGTAGAAATGGCGCATAGCGCAGCATGGCGCAGCATTGGCATCACCGCAGTCGTGGCCTAGTGGCGGATTCCACTTCCGGTTGCGAAAGCGTTTCGGATGTGTGTATCATGAGCTCCGTAGGAGCGGCATCGGCGGCTCAGCTTAGCCGCGGTTCCAGGTTTGAAATGCCCCAGGATTATGCTGTTATTTCGCCCCCTCTGCCGAATGGGTATGTGGCTCGGAACCCTGCTTTTCTGCATGCAGATGTAAAAGGGAGGCCTTATCACGCGGAACACTTTCGCGAGCCACTTTTTCGATGTGTCCAGCCCACCGAGGTTCCTGCGCTCGGCGCATATCAAGTGAACCACGTGTGGGCGGTGACGTTCAGAAGCACTGACGGTGTAAAGAAAGTTTTAACTGATCCGCAATCGACTGTGAAAGGCCTCAAATGCATGGTAATCGAGCCAAGCCACCGCGACGTCCGTCTGAAGCTGCATTGCTTGCTCTACCGCGTACCGAGAAGAGGACCTGCGAAATGCACTGACCCCCTACGGGATGGTGCTTGACGTAGGAATGAATAAGTGGCGAATTGACGGCTACACCCAGCGGAATACCATGACGAGAACCGTGACGCTCCGGCTAAAGGCTAACGTTACGCTAGGACGACATAGCTCACCAGTTACGAGTTGGAGGAGAGCTCGCGCTTATTGTGGCCACCGGAAGAGCGCCGCGGTGTTTGCGCTGCCAGCAGATTGGCCACATTAGGAGGGACTGTCGAGTCCCGCGGTGTGACACTTGCAAGCGTTTTGGACACGCCTCTGGGAACTGCACGAAGACGTATGCGGCAGCTACACTGAACACCGGGAGCATGGATAAATCCGAGCTCACTATGGACGAGGCCGAAGCAGAAGAATCGCTTAAATCGAAAACGGCTTGTGAAGGAAAAACACCTAGTGCAGCAGGCATGACGCGATTGCAGAAAGAACCGCCAAGGTCAACTGACAGTGGGGGAGTGCAACCTATCGCGGATGCATCGGCGAAATCACAGGTGACTTCTGCGGAAAAAACATTCAGTACAGGAGGCGTGATGGATGTGAAAGAAGCAGAAAAAACAAGTGAACGTGCGTGTCTGCAAGCGGCAGCAGAATCATTGACGAGCGCAAAGGAAACTAATGTTTTAGACGACGCAACCGCTGCAACAGATGAGAGCGAATCATTCACTCAAACTGTCCAGGAACTTGCCGAGGGTGATGCCATGGAGTGGCACGATGCCGAGGAACCAGGTACGGGAGGGAGACGACCACGAGACGCAGCCTCAACAAAATCAAGCGATATAAGCAATCAAGAATTGCCACTGAAAGCAGCTCTCCTACGGAGGCAGCGACTGGTGGTCAAACACAATATAACACAAGGGGAAAATAGGGCCGGAAAACCGGCCTTTTGACAACACATTACGTGCCGCCTTCTACCAAGAAGATGCACCGGACGACTAAATAGACGGAGTTCAACTAAGACGTTATGGTGTGCAGCTACTTGTACTTAAAAAAAAAAAATGAGCCTGAAACTTAAAAGAGCAATGCGATTTGCCAGCTTAAATGTACGCGGGTTAGCTTCAAGAAGGCGGCAGTACCCTCGAATCCCGGCTGCGGAGGCTGCATTTCCGATGGAGGCGGAAATGTTGTAGGCCCGTGTGCTCAGATTTGGGTGCACGTTAAAGAACCCCAGGTGGTCGAAATTTCCGGAGCTGTTCACTACGGCGTCTCTCATAATCATATGGTGGTTTTGGGACGTTAAACCTCACATATCAATCAAGGCGGCAGTACCAGTTGAGTAGGTTGTTTTCGGAGCATGACTTGGATGTGATTGCTGTGCAGGGAACTAAAATAGCGACTTTGAAAGATACCGATCATATGACGTTACCTTTTCGATCAATATATAACATCTGTGTATCCCATGCTGATGGCTTATCAGGAGGGTGTGCACTCTTCATACGACAATCGATAGGTATTGAAAGAAGTGTAGCAAGCAGCGATAACGCTACGTAGTGGGTGATTTTTCTTTCTTGATTTTCGAATGGCGTGTCATATGCGTTTATGCTCCGAACCGAGACAGTGGAAGGAAAGTTTTTTTTTTTTGAAGAAGTAAGTAACTTACTGGAATGTGACAAATATGTAGTCCTCTTTGGTGATTTTAACTGCGTTTGTAGAAAGGAGCACCCTGCCAAGCCGGTCCAGTCATTTGATAAAAGCGCAGTGTTCTTGATTGAAATGATTGCAGAAAAGGGTCTGGAAGATGTTGGTTCATGTATGTCTAGTTGCAGTGTTCAGTTTACGCATTTTCAGGGTCTAAGCCACGCACGTTTAGACAGAGCGTACATCTCACTGGACCTTATTATGTGCTGTGATAAATATGTTGTTACACTAGTGTCTTTCAGCGACCACTGTATGATTAGTTTCACACTTGGCCCTAAAGACAGGACTCCGAAATTTAACTGGCACTTGTAGAAACTGAAACGACCATATCTTGAAAGATGAATCTTATGGTAAAGATGTAACCGAAGCCCTCACGAAACTCTACGGTAATCAAAAGGTGACTGGGAAACAAAGTGAGAAATTTTCAAACAAGAGGTTAAAATGAATGCGAACGATCTACAAAAATAAATTTGCAAAGAAACAGGCGGAAAGAAACCTGCAAAGGCAATTACAAGTGCTCTTGCAGGAAGAAACTCTGACACCCGGCTCCTTTACCAATGAAATAACAGATACTAAAAACAAACTGGAGATTTTAGTGTAAAGGTGCTATAATGAGAGCTAGAAAGTGAAAAACTTTGGATAGGTGAGACACCCACAAAACGAGCTTTGGGTGACGAAAAAAAAAATATGCACAAAGAAATGAAATCGGAGAAATACTACGCAATGACAGACTGACGAATGAAAAAGGTCAGATAATGGGGGCGTTTGTGGAACATTATCCCGATCTGCTTGGAAAACGGAGTACCGATGGCCATGGGATTTAGTAATGTCTTTCTTGATATCATGCCCAAGCTTGACGCCGATACACGAGAAATATTAGGGGCTCCTATCAGTGTACAGGAAATAAAAAAAAAGCTACTGATGACCTAAGTACAGGCAAGACAGCCCGGCCCAGATGGAATTAGGGCGGAGTTTTATAAAGTTTATAAAGAAGACGTAGCAGTTGCGCTATATGAAGTTATCGTAGATGCATACAGAAGGAAAAAAAACTGCCACGGTCTTACACGCAGGAACATACTGCCTTGATTCCGAAGACAGATGATAGCAGCAAACTTCAATCTGTAACGTCATATCGACCTATCAGTCCTTTTGAACACTGATTATAAGATATTCATGAAGGCTGTAGCCAGGAGAATTCAGAACACCATTGAAAAGATTGTAGGGACACACCAGACATGCGGCATAGAGGGTCGCAGCATCACAACGAACATACATAAAGTAAGAAGTGTACTAGAGATTTGTGACGCCTTTGAAGAACGAATAGCAATCATGCAGATGGATTTACAGAAAGCTTTTGACCATGTCTCCCATGAAGTATTGTTCAGTGTGTTGAAGCATGTGGAAGTTGGTGACGTAATTTTATGGTTTGAAGATGGCATATTCACAGTGTGTAACGCAGTTGTTAGTTAATTTCATTCTGCAGCTAATGCCTGCTCACATCTGTATTATCCTTTAGTCTGAAAATATTTGCACTTGACACTGTTGGACTATGCAGTAACAGTTGACTTAAATTATTGCACTATTAAAAATTATCTAAGCCTACATGTTACTGTGCAAACAGTGCTACAGCAAGTTGAGTGAGGAGTGTAGGGCTCACTCCGTTGTCAACTTGAGCAGCGCGGTAGAACAAGTCGAGGGATTTTTTCGCTTTCGGATCAAACACAATGTCAAAAACCCAATACAATGCTATTTGTGTTGCAACTGCTGCCAGTAAATTTTCTTTCATTATAGAGATGTCCTATAGTCGCACAGTAAATAGCGTGGCATCAAAAATGCTGCTTCCTCTGTATGTAACTTTTGGAAACAGGTAGGTGGCCTCTGGGTCCTGAAAGAGAATGCGTTGAGCAGTAGGTTATTATCTTTCGAACTTCACAACATCAAGAAAAGTTTTTTTGCCAAGAGCAGAAGACTAAGTGAAGATCCACTAAGTACAGAAAGCCCCGCTTACTATGTTCACAATTCAATAAATTGGTAGAGAAAAAGTGTTTTTTGATACTCCTCAGCAGTTCATCAGTATCACGATATAGATTATCCAATGTGCTTTGTCCTAAACCAAGTGGACCGAAGAAGCCTAAAAGTTTTAATGGAAATTAAAAGATCCTCCCTGATTGTTCAACTCCAAGTCCACAGGCTGCCTGCCACAATGGGCAAAAATTGCACTTGTTATTGAAATTAGTCAATTAGCAGAAGACATTATAAGAGAATTACAGTGCTGGCTAGAAAAAAAGTAAATAAAAGCAGGAAAATTTCTTTGTGAGGGTTTCCTGTAAAAATGTAATGTCAAAACATACTAAAGCCGATAGAAAGTCTATTGGGCATGAGGACATGTCGTGGCGCCACCATGTACAGGCGGCCCTGTGACGTACGTGAGTGAATTGCTCCGCCGCCCTCTGGTGCACAGCCCGCAGCCGCTCTCGCATCTCCTCTTTTTATTATTCTCTTTAATGTACTTCACTCAACAAAATCAGTAAAATACACCTGCAGCTTCTTTCCTGACTGCACAAAGAGCTAAATAACTGGCGTGGAAATATTTTACACTTCTCATAATGCCTGATTACTGACATTGTCTGCTATCGCCACCTCAATGAAAAACACGAGGGCCGAGCGCGCCACCTCTTGAAAAGTCAGAACTCATTCCGTGTCGAATTGAAGTATCAAATAGGTATTAACGGTAAAGAAACTTATCTTTGCTGCACGAAATACGTGCAACCAAGATACTTCATTCATTGTGGGTTCGCGTCAAAGAGGGTCTGCCGTTGACATGACAAGCATGTGCAAATCTTTGTTTAGCATGCATAGCCCTACAAAGCACAGCGCAAGCGAATTCTGCACTTTGTGGGTAGCGACACAGCATTATTACAGCCGCATGCCGCCACAACCTTTCTGTCCTCATTGGAGGCAAATGTGAGAATCATGCACGCGCGTGCCTCATTCAGTGTTGCCACTTTTCTTTGTGGCACAATCCTAATATTTATTGTGCAAAAATTTCTATGGTGGTCACGCGTTGCACATTAAATCGCCATCGAGCCACACATGGGCGAAAATTCTGAATGGTTGGTTCAGTTGCAGAGCTTCTATACAGGGATAAACCATGATAAAAATACGATCAGCCGGCCGTATCATTTTGCACCCTTGAAAGTGGATGCTGCGAGGTCTTGCGTACCGTGATCTAAATGGCAATATCATGTTTCAGTAAAATAGCCAATGTCCAGTTTTTTTCTTTCTTCTTACAGCTTTATTCATAAGCTGTGCAATATTCACAGCTGCTCTTTTCTCCTGTAGATCAAAACAACATTGAGAGGTAGTGATAGTGGCTTTGGCCCATTCCACATGTAATCTATAAGCAAGGAATTAAACCTGTGAGCTGAAATTACGAACAACACCGGCGTTGGCAGAATTTTTTTTTCCCCGAAGCACCACCTATATTCCAGATTAGAATTGGGCCCGGGCAGGCAGCAGTAGTAAACCATCACTTTGTGCGCATATACCATGGAATTTGGGGGGGGGGGGGGGAGGGTCAGGGGCTTGGTGTGCCAACCCCTGCCTATGCCATCACTGGCGGATGGAAACCCGTGTGGTCGGGTACACACACAAGGTCGGACGACCAAGAAGGAGGATGGTGGTGGCGAAGACTGCGGTAAAGGTTACCTTGGCGAGAGAAGTAAGCTTTTGCGAAGACTGGATCAGCAGATGTATAATGTAAGAAAGAAGGTTTCGTCAAACGCGCTCCTCGAACACGCAGAAGCAACTGGCCACGAAATGGACCGAAATAGGATGAAAATAACGAAAATAAAGGGAAAAAAATTGGACTTGCGGGCTATCTTGACTCTTAGAATTCAGACAACACCGCACATTTTTTAAATGCAATAACGGCAACTTCCCGCAGATGTACGCTTCTGCGTTCTATTTTTTAAAATATACATAATCGGACCATGTGCAAATTCATTTTTCGTGGTGAATGAGGCTCCTGTGCAGAATCTTAAAGGATCTGCTTTTATGTGAACAGTCATGGTCTGTGCTCATTTCAACTCCATGGACTCGAAAACAACAAAGAAAGAGAGAATTAACAGTGGCAGTGACAGTGGCATTGCATACGCAGAAAACTGTGGCGCGCAGCCGGTAACTTTTACTGCGACTTTTCGCATTGTGTAGTCTGCAGAAGTCTGTGCACCATAAGTCGGAGCAATACAATGCTTTTAAAAAATGAAAACAGTACGAAGTCGCAACTAAAAAACAATGCATCCAACCGCCAGTTTTCATCCGCCAGAGCAAGGCGATTTCATGTGATCCAACCCTGCACATCACAGTGATTTCAGCAAACAAACCTGTTTGCCTGGTGTCACTCTATCAATAAACAAGGGCCATATTTTGAACTCAGTGCCCCACTGGTATCAACAGCAGCTCTACCTCCCTCTAACTCTTTTATTTTTTAATATTCATATGGCATTTGAATGTGGTTATGAGTGGGTTAAGCTTTAAATAGTCAGCTGAAGTTATTAAACTGCTCAGCACAAAATTTAGAAAATGAACACAAGAGACGATGACTGCGCTGGTCTTCATCTCTTGTGTTTGTTGTCTAAAAATGTTTGCGCTGAGAAGTTTAATAATGGAATACCAACTAACTTAATCTCACACTTTACGTTATTTGAAAACTTTTCTAATGCTCCAGCTTAGTAGATCAGCACTGTTCCCCCCAAAATAACTTCATTGTCTATTTATTTATTTATTTATTGTACCCTCAGGGCATACAGCATTATAGAGGGGAGTGGGTTTAGAAGACAAAAAATACAATTGAAACATGAAAAACAAGTCACATTCAGTACATACGTACAACACTCGAGGACAAACGTGTAAATGACAACGCTTACACAATATCTAGAAACACAGGAAGCACCGCGGACAAATCAAACGAGAAATCAAAAAAATCAAACAAGGAAGCATCGCGACAAAAAAATACCGTAATGACGATCTAAAAAAAAAAAAAAAATGCGTTGAGCACATCAATGCATAAAATTTTCGAGTGCCGCCCGAAAGCGTTCATGATTAGTAATCGTGACTAGTGACGCAGGCAGGTTGTTCCAATCATGGCATGTTTTTGGTAAAAAAGAATGGGAGTATGTTACGGTGTTTTGGCGCGGAATATGAACCTTGTAATGATGGTCGAGGCGTTCAGATAGGAAAAAAGGAGGGTTTAGCCAACGTGATTTAAGTATGGGATTATGGTGATATGCTTTATGCAGCACACAAAGGCGAGCAAGTTACACAAAGGTTACTAGCCTCGGGACATGTGAAGGCTTGTTGCATACGCTCTTTCATGAGACTTGGCAAAACACACACTGCTGCCGTTAGCAGGACATCTGAATTGGGGAACAAATGGGTAAATAGTTTTATCACATCATGTTGCAAGAAATTCATCGAGAAAATACCATACACAGTTATCTACAAGCCCTTTTTAATACAGTTAAACCCCTTTAGAAGAGGCATGCTCCAAGCAGCAATTCTTGTCCTTTATGTGTGACGTCTCTTATAAGCAGGGTATCTCATATTAATTTGCTTATCAAGCTGTATTTTACTGTAAGCACACTGCTGCCTCTTATACCCAATTGTGTCATATGGGTGTGCCTCTTATAAATGAGCTCGACTGTACCTAAATATGTCAATGAGCACTACAGTCTATTTATCACCCACATTATGGTGGTACACAATCTCAGTCGGTTTTTTTCTCTCAAAACAGAAAATTCATTTAGTATTATTGTGATTTAATTATTTGTTTATAAATGCATGTACACGGCACATCTAGTATCCGCCACATGCTCTGTTGTATTTTGCACAACTGAGCACAAAATAAATTTCCCCATAGCATGGGTGACGACTTCATTATAGTACTAATAACCGATGACTACCTAGACAGCATGTTTGCATTGGCTGCATTGGTTACTCTTGGCCACAGACGTAAAATGCACACATTGCAACTTTCAGCTCACAGCACTTTTCTGTGATCATAAGGCCAGCTGTGTTTACAAAAACCAACAACTTGGTTCTGCCTCTGACTGTGCTTTCTGGAACCAAAGCTGTAGCTGAGTGCTACAAAATCTTCACCAAAATTTAACCATCATGCACTCAAGTAATGAATTGTCCCACCTATGATCAGTTGCTGGCTACTTACTGTAACAGGAAAAGCTAAAGACATTATTTTTTTGTAACAGTTCTTCATAAGAAATAACAAAACTGCTCCTTCACCTTTGCCTGGTGCTGACAATTCTGCATATTGAGGCACACCTATCAAATGAAAGCTACGTTGCAGAACTTCAGCTTGCACCGTGGCTGTTTACTGAATATCATTAACATGTGCCAGACCATTTTCTTCCAAGTGCAGTGCCTTAAGATATAGATAAAACGTGCTGCTGAAGAATAACCATAATTTTCTTGCTTGCAGTCTACAAGCTCTTTCATAAACTTGTCCAAGTGCCGCTTCTTCCAAGCGGCATCAACAATTTTAGCTGCTGCAGCTGCAAAAGAGTGCTCCAAGGCATCCACTAGCTGCACCTTTGTAAGTAGATGGAACTCCAAGTGGGCCTAAACAAAATAAGGCTACAGCCAAAAGTTACCATAATTCTATTGGGCAACTATTATGCTTGTGGCATTTATCTCCTTAAAAAAGCCCTTTGAACCAAAAATGGTGACCCTTTGTACCATGAAAGTATTTAGATCATTAGCATTACTTTTTTGGGCCTCGAAAGCATAGTCGGCACGGTTCACAAGCTCTTTCATAAACGCGTCCAAGTGCCGCTTCTTCCGAGCGGCATCAACAATTTTAGCAGCTGCAACTGCAAAAGAGTGCTCCGAGGCATCCGCTAGCTGCGCCTGGCTGGTGTGCCACTCCCACTGAATCTGAAGTGCTGCAGTGGAACTTTTCTGGGCAGCTCCGAAGACGTAGTCAGATTAGGTGGTGCTGTCGTCTGTTTTTTACGAAAAAAGAAGGCGAACCGGAAGCCAGATGAGATACTGTAGCCACTGAAGTACACGTGTCAGAAGGCAGACTGATGGTAATGGCAAAGCAATCTCGGTTCAAGCTTTCCGGCTAAATTAAACAGCAGAGCCTGCATAAAGCAAAGAAGGTGGCTTCATGACCACATGCCACTGGCTGGTAATAAAAAAAATTAGGTGTGGAGTAAAAACAACTAGCAACTTATTCAAAGCTCTTTCAGGCACACGAACATATTTTAAGTGTTGCGAGCATTTCCTAACTTCTGCCTTTAATTCAGCAAAATAAAAGTAAAAATTTAGTTCTTCAAACTTATACAACAAATCTCAGATAATAGCATTCTAAACAAGACTTTCACAAATATAAGACTTATTTTTAATGTCCTGCAGGGTGATGGTAAATGCAGTTGTGAATAATATAACTGTTCTACAGCTACATTTAAAGGTGTGGCCAGGAACTGGCCAAATGGTGCAGGTAAGCCACGCGAGTGTGCCCTTTGAAGGAATGAGTCCTGCAACACAGACACAAATCACTATACCATGAGGAAATAAGTGAATGTGAATGCTTACAATGGTGCTTGTTGTAAGTGCTGGATATTTTTCCACAACATCAGCCACACTTGGAATTTCTTTGGAAATCCATAATCTTCGCTCCGAATACGTTCTGGATATGGAGTCCATGAGATATTCATAGTTCGGACTGGCTTTTAACATTTCTTTTTGCATGCCAGCAATGTGAGCTGCAATGCTGTCTTCATCCTCAGCATCATTGAGGTTCAAAGCCTAGAGAAAGGACAAACTTATTACCTTTGTAAAAGCAATGCTGTCATGTAGAGATGCGCAGTGAATGTTTGCATGCACTAGTGGGAACAAGTTATCCTTTACTTGATTTGGCATTAGTAGAGGGGTTTAGATGTGGAGAATAACAGAAATACCAAGGGCCAAGAAGCACACTTAGCCTTGATGTTAGCTTCTGCCTTGACACCTGGTTACATACCCACTAGCTGGAAATAGCAGTTTTCTCTTGCCGAGACCACTCAAGAGGTCCAGACTGAACGTTTCTTTCACACTGTGGCTGTTAATGAGGTATATATGTGCATTTTAAACGTGGAATCATCAGTCAGTGTCGCCAGTAGCTGTGGCGGCAATTGTGGAACATCCTTCTTCCTGCCTGGCCACTTTTCTTTCTTAACAATCCCATAACATTCACTACTAATAACATCCCCTATATTTTTCTTGGCATTATTGTCTGTTAGTTCTCATTAATATTGCTGCTGTTACAGGGTATTTCGAAGTGTGTGCAATTGCAAATGCCATCATGCTGTGGCATTCATACTTCAATAAAAAAGCCTCGATAAATAACAAAAATGGGTTTTACCCAGCAGTATGACTTGTTTAGGCATTTTGACTTAGCTTTAAAAACTAGCAGTTGCTATGCCTCCGCACATCAGATAGACAACTTATTTGTGGCAAGATAAGCTTTAAGGGAGTATGGTAAGAAAAAAGAAGAGACTCTAGCAAGAGACTAGTTCTCACTCGATCTAGCCCATGCTCCATAGGATTCTTTCCTTACAACAAGCCAGTTTTGATAAAGCTTTATTGAAGAGTGCTCTAAGACAGTATAAAATGCCACCTGTGCCATTCATCTTTTTTTTTTACCTATGGCAGCGCATAGCTCCCATACTTCCCACTCCCATAACTTGCGTGCCATAGACAATTTCATGTAGCAGCAACCAATTACAAAAAAAAAGGTAGCTGTTTTCAGGACTAGCAAGTGTAAGATTCTATAGCAGGAGCAGCTTCCGTGATGACATCTGACATCATGCTTTTGGACCACCAGGCATGGTCGGAAGTTTATTTCGTTAGCAGCTTTGACAGTCAATGAACAGTTGGTAGTTAGCCGTCCTCTGTCTCTTCTGTGCTTTCTTCATGTTTCAAGCATTGTGCCAGGATTAAGATGTTCAGTGAGCATAGGCACCAACTAGACAAGCAGCAAGTTCTTCTAACCACAAGCACATCATGGCTACCATGCGATGACACCGTCTGTAGATAATGATCCAAGTGATAAAAAAGTTTGATCACCCTTGCAGTTTAGTACTACTGGTTTTACTGAAGCGTAATGCTTGCTGGCTTGTTATAGATTCAAAGGAGAGAAAATTGCATGTCTATCGATGTTGTCAGCTCACTTCATAGATGTGATTTTGAATTTTAGGCTCATTTTAACCAAGAGTCTGTAGTACTCCTTGCAGGACAAAAAAAAAAAACGGTGGTGGTGGCATAGGTGGCATCACTCTACTGGTTTGGTGTTGGTCAATTAAGCTAGTTCTGTGTGGGAATACCCCCCAATCGTCAATTTCTCTTGATTTAAATAGCCATGAAACCAGTGCTGAGAGGTTTCTGTAATGATACCTTAACAATATACACTGATTTATGTGTCTTTTGTCCTTTTAAGATACCCACTGAACAATAAACACATTTGTACATACAGCACTGGGCCTTGCTATATTAAGAGGCAGCTTATTTTGAGGGCTGCTTCTTGATCGTTTCGGTGCTGCAGCACTGGTTTCCCCTTCATTGGCCTTCCTAAGCTTATATCTTTCATATTTTTTCTTTTGAATCGGAGGCCCTCACGCCATGAATCCTGAAATGTTGTACAGCCATCAGTCAAAACAAGCAAAAACATTTCTCCACACAGACCCTAGTTATCAGGTATAAAGTTTGGTTGTGTTGTCTGACAGTACGTACATTAAGGTTGGCAACATAAACTCAACTCACTCAGGTTCATTAAAAATACTTATATGTATGGCACTCAATCGCACTCAGATTCACCAATGTTTTCAACTAGGTCTACTCATACCGACCAGGCTCATTCGTGTTCATTCGTGCTCATTTGTATATACTCATATTCACTGAAATCCTGTTCAACAAGGTCCATTCAGACTAGACTTACCAAACTCATTGGAATTTTGTCAGCTGAGTTTCCTCAAACTGGCTCGTCAAAATTTTGCCCAGCTAGAGTCCCGAGTCGGTCCGAGTATGAATGAGTCGACCAATGAAAAATGGCGTTTTAAACTTGAAGATCCAGAGTCCAGAGTGCCACCTAAACCTTAGAGTGAGTACTCAGATTGCACCAAGCCAAATCTGCCAGTGAAACACAAAAATGCCCCGTTGGAGGTCGTTGCAGAAGTTGTTTATGTATACGTCACTAAACCGGTTCCGGAAATGATTTCCTTTTTTCCTCTCTACGCTTCCTTGGCAAATTAGTCACCACTGCAAAGCGTGCATTTCAACTACGTTGTCGCACAAAGCATGGGTACAGTTTTCTGGTGTTGTGCTGACAAGTATGAGCCAACACATGGTAATCTATCTGGCTGTGCGTTGGCTGCTGCTGAACGTGCTCGTCGTTAAACACCAGTTCATCCACATTAGAGAACACAGCCATTTTGCAAAGCGCAGCCCAAGCACAATGACGGAAGTGACGTATGCTGCTCCTCATACTGCCGCCCGAATATGCGACTTGGCGGCAGTGTGGTGAGAGCAATCTGCCTCGGAGTGAGTTGCTCTGAAACTACCAGTGAAAAGCGCACATTCGCTCTAAATGTACTAGTGAAATTCGGATTTGTCACCACAGGGCATTTGTCTATAGTTAAAGTCGGCAGTGTAGCCAGAAATATTTTCAGGGAGTGTTATACGCCACCGGTTAAAAAGTTAAAACTATGAGAGCCTGTTCGCAAACAATATCTAGTCATTTTTATGCTGTAATAACAAAAAAAAAGGGTTGATTATTTTGCTAACTTCCATATTTACTATTTACATAGGCTGAAAGGCAGGGGAGACCGGGGGTATGCAACACCCAAAAACTTTGGGGTGGCACTGAAACACCCCTCATTTGCTTCAAATACATTAACAAAAACAATGAACTTTGTTTACCCAGTAATATGTCATGAATGCCAAATGCCAACTGAATTAACATACAAGAAACAAAAACAGTGCCTCCTTACATATCCAGTTCCTGTGGAGTCTGCCAAATTGGGAAACTTGGCAATGAGGGCTCTTGCAGCTTCTTCATAAAGCTTCCCAGGGTACCTAGTATATGTTTGTAAATAGGGAATAACATACATTTCGTCATGTCTTCTGACTACAGAAGAAGAATGGCACCAACTTGCTGATTCAAGTTTTGTCACAGTCATCACTGAATATTTACAATACAGTAATGATTGTAAAATTGAGCAGATAACAACTTCAAGTTATTTAAATTACCAGGCCCGAGCTACTATTCCGTATTCACTACTTGCATTTTTATGTGCATTGGCTAATTTACAAAAGCAAGATGTGCAGACACTACTACAGGCTGTAAAAGAGTTGCATTTTAGTATCGCATTCTTAAACAGGGGTTCTGGAACTCAAATTTGAGTGAAGCAGAAAAGGGGGCACATTTTGTCATCGCATACTTTTGAAAACCTCTAAACAAGACCTTTATTATTAATTTAGGAAGGGGAGGAGGGGGAGGCTTTCAGCAGCAACACCACCACGATGGGGCATGTACCCCCAAGTGCACTGTTCCTATTTTCTCAAGGCTGGCTTGCAGCAACACTTACATTCTGTAGGAGCACGAGTCATTATACAGCCACTGGAGAACTCTAGGGCAATTTCCAAAATAGTGCCCCTGCTGATGTCTGTGGATGCTCAGTTTGACATAGAGGGGAATGTTTGGCAGAAGATAAACAGTTCGTTCATCCCCACAGACTGTAGATGGTATGGCTTCTTCAACATTCAGCACGTCAACAATCCTGCATAAAAATTAAGGATAAAGTGTCACACAGCCTTGACTACTAAGAAGTCGGGGGTTAGCAAGTTTCAGAAGTTGCAAATTGACGCTCAGCAGGGCCTGAGTATAGAGCCTAGAATACACTGGCTAATGTGTCGTCCGTAGCCTTCTAGGTGGCACCAAATTGGATGAATGCCGGCGACTGCTGCGTGGGGCGCTGTGGCCCGTGTGGGTGCCGCGGCGCTGCCTGCTTCTCGTAGCCCAGTTTTCCCTCAGCATTGACAACAGGGCCGTTGCAGATTTTGCTTTTATAAAACCGCAGCGATTACTCTTTTCTCATGATAAAAAATGACCAGAGGTTTAGGCGTTTGTTTTAATAAAAAAAACCGCTTGCTGAGAATGTTGCGCTTCGACGCACAGCTAAAGTTGTCAGGCTCATCGAGCGTCGAATCGCGGCAGCTAGTTCAACGCAGGCAAAGGAAACATTTTACTTATATTGTAACAATGCTTGCAACGTTTTTTTCGACATACTGCCACCAGCACGTAGTGGGTCGACAGCAAGAGCGGCTCTCAATCTGGAGGAAAAAAGAAGATCGCGTGTCTTCTTCTCTGCTCGAGAGCCAGCCACGACTGACGCATCGTCCTAGAGCTAGCTACCCGGTCGTTCAATAAATCCCCCAGTACTTGTGACTCATCGTGACAAACTGGTGGAAGGTGCTGGGTAGTCTCACGGATGCTGCAGACCCCCCCAGGAAGCCGTAATACGAGTCCAGTGCCAGTCAACACTCCCGTGCATCGGACCAGCCGCCGAATCAGGGGATTGCCTCCGGAAGTCGACGATACTACTCCCACCACGTCAACAAACATGACCAGCACTTCCGTACAAACCTTGCCAACCGGCACGGGAAGCACGTCGTCGAACCGATATACGTTGGAAAGCCCACGGGCACCGACGACGTTCCATGGTACGGAGAACGAAGACGTTGAGGACTGGTTGGCGGACTTCGAGCGCGTAGCCAACTTGAATCAGTGGGACGACGCGGCGAAACTGGGTCGTGTCTACTTCTATCTCGAAGACGGGGCTCGCACGTGGTATCAAAATCGAGAAGAGCAGCTGACGACGTGGCCCGAATTCTGTCGTAGACTTCTGCAGACATATGCCAGCCGCTCTCTATCCCGTGCCGAGGCGAATTATTCCACTACGGAGAAAGAGTGCCTCGCAGTCGTGTGGGCAATCACCAAGTTCCGCCCGTACCTTTATGGTCGTCCCTTCAAGATAGTGACGGACCACCACGCCCTCTGCTGGTTGGCAAGCCTGCGCGACCCTTCAGGACGGCTAGCACGGTGGAGCTTGCGGCTGCAGGAATTTGACGTCATCATCGTCCATAAGTCCGGCCGTAAGCATGAAGACGCTGACACACTGTCACGCGCACCCCTTCTTGTCGTCAGTCAGGATGCAGAGGAAGACGAAGGCTTTCTGGGCGCCATTAGCTCATCAGACTTGAGTAAACGGCAGCGGGATGATGCAGAGATTCGTCCGATCATCGATCATTTAGAGGGCCAGGACACAATCATACCACGTCATTTATTCCGCTCGTTGCCATCGTTCTGCCTTCGAGATGGTGTGCTGTACAAGAAGAACGCTCGTTCAAACAACTGTGCCTATCTCCTGGTGGTTCCTCGAGACATGCGAGACGACGTCCTCTTCGCTTGCCATGACGAACCCACATCCGGTCATCTGGGCTACTCACGGACACTTGCCAGAGTGAGTGAGAGGTACTATTGGCCAGGAATTTCGGCAAGCGTCAAGAAGTACGTCAAGAGCTGTCGGGAATGTCAGCGCCGAAAGCAACCATCTGTTAAGCCAGCTGGTTTGCTTCAGTCCATTGAAGCACCTTGCACCCCATTCGACCAAGTCGGCATGGACATTCTCGGGCCATTTCCCCTGTCTGCGGACAGCAACAAATGGGTGATCGTCGCGACCGACTATTTGACACGCTACGCTGAAACCCAAGCGATCCCACGAGCCACGGCTTCTGAGGTAGCACAATTTTTCATGTGCCACATCGTGTTACGACACGGTGCTCCTTCCAGTGTAATAACGGACAGAGGGACGGCATCCACGGCGCAGCTTACGGACGAAGTTTTCAAACTGAGCAACACCAGACACCGAAGGACAACTGCGTACCACCCGCAAACCAACGGACTTACCGAGCGACTGAATAAGACCCTCGCAGACATGATCTCAATGTACATCGACGTACAGCACAAAACATGGGACCGGATCTTACCTTACGTGACCTTCGCGTATAATACCGCCGTGCAAGAGACCACGCGATTCACGCCATTTCGGCTTCTCTACGGCCGCGAAGTACAGACCATGCTAGACTCCATGCTACCGTGTCAAGACGAAGACGAGTTGGCAACTGACGCCGAAGAATTCGCAGAGCGTGCTGAGGAAGCCCGGCAGCTCGCGCGACTGCACATCGGCCAGCAACAGCAGGCAGACGCACGACGCTATAATACCCGCCACAGAGAAGTGTTTTACAGCCCCGGAGATCAAGTTTGAATGTGGACGCCCGTCCGCCGCCGTGGCCTTAGTGAAAAGTTGCTGAGCCGGTACTTTGGCCCATATAAAGTGTTACGCCGCGTCAGTGACGTGACCTACGAAGTGGTTCCGGACTCAACACCCCATGCACGGAGTAGGACACGGCTGAGGCCGGACGTCGTTCATGTGTTGCGCATGAAACCATTTATTGCGCGTTGCTCGTAACTTTTCCTTTACCGTACAGCATCCTTTGTGTTTTTTTGTTTATTTGTGTGAACTTGCTTTCTCGTTCATTGACGTTTCTTATTTTGGCATGCTCTTCAATCTTTACTTTCACTTTATCCGAATTTCCAATTTCTTTTTTACGTGCCTATGTTGTGGCATCGCGGTGATGCTATGTACTTTTCTTTCCTCTTTTTGGGACTTGTTTTTTTTTTTCTTTTCGGAAGGGGGGATAATGCCACCAGCACGTAGTGGGTCGACAGCAAGAGCGGCTCTCAATCTGGAGGAAAAAAGAAGATCGCGTGTCTTCTTCTCTGCTCGAGAGCCAGCCACGACTGACGCATCGCCCTAGAGCTAGCTACCCGGTCGTTCAATAAATCCCCCAGTACTTGTGACTCATCGTGACAATACAAACTCAGTCTGTTAAGTTCAAATGAAATACAATAATGCGGGTGTACATATAAGCGCACCGGGAAGATTATATCTTAGAGCGGTACGTGGGGCAGTAGCCGTTTACACACGAGCTCTAGAAACTTCTAGTTACCTTACCCCCGCTACTGTGATTAGGCACTTAGCTGTGTCCCCGATAAGGGAAATAGAAAAAAGCGAAAAGGCCCCCTCTTTCCTCTATTAATAAATAGCCACCTATATGCTGTGAAGACTAAGTTCTATTGTCTTAATTGGCTGTAAAGGCACCCACTTGATATGGTTACCTCATGTCATTTCTTTCTGAATTAGCAGTACTATATCAAGTTTAACATAGCTTTTGTTAACAAAAATTTATTGAAACAAAACAACAACATGTACACATGACAACACTACATCTACATGAAGTGATGAATAATTATTCAACATATCAGCGACCCAAAAACACAGAAATTCTAGGCGGTGGGAAGTTTTCTCACTCGTCTAGCGCCAGTCATGTCTCTTCCTCGTCGGAGTTCATTAGTGCTATACCAGATTTTGAAGCATTTATAATATAACTAGTCCGAAAAGCCACATTGACAGAACTTCTTTGCCCTAGAGCCTTGTATATTGAAGTAATATATGGAAAGGTGTGGAAAAGGGGATCAATGGGAAGAAACAGATAGAGCAAAACATATAGTATGGAATGAAAGATATAACGAAAGACCAAAAAGAAAGCAAGATAAAGAGATAGAAAAAGGATGCGAGAATTTTAGAGAAAGAGGAAGAAAGGTGGCCACAAAAAATGATAGAGAGATAGCAAGAAAGAAAGCAGTTCAATTAAACAGATACAAAAAAAACATACACACAGGATACGGAAAAATGAAGATTGATTGATGGATATGTGGGGTTTAACGTCCCAAAATCACCATACGATTATGAGACGCTGTAATGGATGGCTGCGGAAATTTCGACCTCCTGAAGTTCTTTAACAGGCACCGAAATCTGAGCCCACAGGCCTACAGCATTTCCGCCTTCATCGAAAATACAGCCGCCGCAGCTGGAATTCGATCCCGCGACCTGCGGGTCGGCAGCCGAGTACCTTAGCCATTAAACCACTGCAGCGGGGCAGAAAAATAAAGAAATAGAGGAAGAAAGAACGAAAAAAATTGCAAACCTTAGCAAAACATGAAAGCCTACAGTGAACACATAGATGGGGACGTAGGAAGAATACATAGTGCTATGCGGATGTCGAGTGTTTTTCCTTCGTCTCCGTCAGTGTGCGCTCTGTAGCCTTCCATGATACATTACCAGCTAGTCCACCAAGCTATGCATAGCCAAACAACAGCCGCAAGGATTATACCTCGATTGGTTCGCCACCGGCTCCACTGTTTCTTTGGCATTGGGCATACAAGGGTGCAAGATGCAGTAATTTTATTTTTCCAGAAAAAAAGACATGGTTCTCAAGGAGTACTTACTGTGAACATTTTGTTTGCATGAAACCACAACCACCACAAAGAGCTGTTTTGAAAACTAAGGATGCAGCCTCAGCGATACGAGTGAGGACTCGTTGATTTTTCTTATATACTCTGCGATACAGCCTATGGTTAGAGTGGTGGCTACAATGCCGGAGCAACGATTGCCTGTAGGCAAACTAGGCCATTTTAAAGTACATAATTTCAATGAATAGGACATGGCGATGCTATTCACTTTACTTTTATAAATTAATAAGCGTAAGCTACCATTCCTGCTGGCATGGATCGACACTTTGAGCTAACATGGCAGGCATGTGCGGTTCATAGATGTCCAATGATGACTCTCAGTAGTGGGTGTTCCGCTTCAAAATTTTGTGCGCTAAATATTTTGGGCACCAACTATTTGGCGCACTATTTCTACAAACCAGCTAGTACTATGAGTCTCACTATTTCAGATCCTCAGGTTGTAGTGCACTCTTCAAGTTCAGGACCTTCGACGGTCGAGCTCGCTTCAGAGAGGTCGCGGAGTAGCGAGAGCATGCGATGGGCGCGAATCACATCGGCTTCGGCTCAGGTTCATTTTCAAGAAGAATTTTTTCCTG